ATATAATAAATTTTGCAACAGCTCTTCTGCACCGCTCTTGAGTAAATAAATGATGTGTCACTGATTTAGAGGAGGACCCTAGTTGAGAGGCTGTAAACAATGATTGTGTCATCTTGTTGGCTTTGTTTGGATTTTTGGGACACCTCCTTGCATGCTTTCGCAATCCATTTGTCCCATGTCTAGTAGGATGACAAGCAATTGTAGCTGGGCAATACTTGCACTTAGCTCGGTGTTCTCCCTTAGTTTGGTCCAAAGGAAGCTTGTCAAAATGCAGCCATACATTAGATGTTTTCCTTCTTTTTGCTGGTATCTCTTCTCCCTCAATATTTGAGGCATTTGGGGCCTCTGTTTGTGTTGCTTCTTCATTAGACATTGATACTGAATCATTGCTTTCAGTTTCAGAATCTCCTTCAACATTTCCAATGTTTTTTTCAGTAGCGGGTGTAGTGCCAGTAGGGGCCATTTCGGTCTTCCTAAGCAGATTAAGCAGCATTGAACAAATTAAACACATTAAGCAGCATCAAAGTATTTCATATGACTTGAACATATCAGAGACCCAATTTTCAAACACAGTGAACCCAATTTTCAGTTTTTAAGCAGCAGACCCAATCAAAGAACGCCGACTAAATTTCAGAATCAAGATTTTTATCATTTTCAGAACTCCTACTAGTTTAAATGTAAAGTCAAGGAACAAAGAAGCAGCACAATAAAGGGGATTGGGGCTTGGAGACTGGCAGACAGTAACAGGGCAAGGCGGCAAGCATCAAAGCAGTCAAGCAGGTGGGATCGGGCATGATGAACGGATGGAGAACAAAGTTACTTACCTGGTCCTGCTGGTTGCTTACAGAGAGTGATCGACGGAGCAAGCGACGGTGGAACCTGCGACCCGCGAGCCTGCGATTGATCAACGGTGGCACCGAGCAAGGGGCTGGAAGCTCATATTCAGAAGCTGAGACCGACAGCAACAGGCGAAAATCTTAGATTCAGAAGCCGAGACGAGAGAGAGAGAGAGGTGAGAAGCTCAGATTCACCGATTCAGAAGCCGGTGAACAACAGTGAGCAACAGTGACTCGATGAGGAGCGACGGTGAGCGACGGTGAATGAGCGACCTCTGACACTGTGAGTCTGTGAGCGATGGTGAACGCGCAACGCAACCGTGGAGATCTCAGATTCTCGGCTTTGGACGCTGAAGGAGGAGGAAATGAGGAATTGGGAATTTGGAACACTGAACAAGTGAACAGTGAACACTAACACTCTAAGTCTCTAACACGACTCGGGGTCTCACACTCTCACTCTCCGTCTCGGTAATTAGACAATCATAATAACAAAAAAAATTATTAAAAAATTTTAAAAAAACGGGACGGGACGGGACGTCCCGAAGGCTAGCCCGAGTCCCGTCCCGTCCCGGGACTTTTACTGTCCCGGTCCCGGTGGTGTCCCGTCCCGGCCTCACTCGGGACGGGACAGTCCTGTCCCTAAACCTCCGGGACGGGTACGGGACGGCCGGGACGGGTTCACACTTGAGCACCCCTAGAAAAAAGTCCTGTAACTAACACTAAAATATTTTTAAAAATTATACGTTCCAAATATAAGACCTATTTTGTAGTATAAATTATACTACAAATAGTTCTTATATTTAGAACCGGAAGAGTAATTAAAATTAGTAAATAAACAAATTTCTGGAAATATCTTTAATTATGGACGAAGATTATGAGTGAGGGAGATAGAATAAACAAATAGGAAAATGATAAGAGTAATGCAAATGAATTAATTGCGTCCAAATAATATAATGGATGGGGACAATAATTTTAGGGGGGAAAAAGTTAGTTAAAATTTCACGCATCGTTTGAATAATCTTATGAAATAGGATAATGCTTACCTGAAAAATTACAATATTCCTCTTGTTCTTATTATAAGATTTATATAATTAATTTGATAACATTAAAAAAGTTAGATAAATTAGTTATTTATAATAAATATAACATGTTATTACTAAAATATTTTAATAATCTTTCTTATATCCTTCATTCCTCTCATACTTAGTTATCATTAAGAGAGTATTAATATGATTTGAGATTAATTATTAAATATAAAAAATAAATATTATATTTATAATTAAAAATAAATATTATATTTATAATTAATTAACAAGTCCTGCATTCACTATCGGGGGAGCATCTTATGCCACCATGATTAAAGAACCGGAGCGTACGGGAAGCAAGCACGTGCCATTCTTTTTTGCGGTATCGCTTTCGCTTTCCTGTTCAACACACCTGCTTCTTTGCTTCCTCCTGCGTCCTTCGCATTAAATCCAAACCCCAACCTTTTCCTCCCCATCAATCATGTGGACATATTCTATCCACCTTCATCCTTGTTTATTAGTCATTTTTAAATATTTTTATCAAAACTAATTAGTAATGATAAATTTAAAATTTACCTATCTGGTCCTATTTATAAGATACTTTTAGTATATTTTATACAGACAAAAAAATCTTAAATTGTATTAACTCTTCATTAAAATATACTAATTTTTTTAATTTTATCCATATTTAATATATACACCTTTCAAAAGAAATAACTACCTACACTATAATAAATTAAGAACAAAATAGTATATTCACACTGAAAATTTAATAACGTGATTTATAAATAAGAAAAAAAATTTCTCTACCCTATAAATAGGACCATAACAGTATTAATTAATTGTGTCTAGAGGTTAACAAAATGTTCAAATTTCTCCATGTTCAATTGACCGTTTAAAAAAAATCTAAAAGCCAGTTTTGAAAACACAAACCAACGTTAAATAAGAACATTATGTACAATAACAAATATTTTACACAATGTTTTATAAAAATAATGAAGAAAACTCTTTTCTAAATAGATATGATGTACCTCATACGACAAACCTATGAAATAAATGCAAACATTGTCAACTTAATTATTAGCATGAATTGGCCGTTCGTACTAGAATGTGCATTTGTCATGACTTAGTATTTATGTAGTGAGAAAGCCATTTGTTTTAGTTTCATGTCTCTATCATGGCATCGTTTTCATCTATTAAGTGAAATGAAATTACTTTGAAATTGCACCCAAAAAAAAAATGTGACACATATCAACGAAGATAGGTTCAAAACAAATAAATAAATCAATGTTAAATTTGTGAGAAACTAGTTTTTTATAACGTAACAAATTAATATTTAAATTCTTATTAAAAATGCGTCTTTATTTAGTGTTTAATAACATCTTAAATAATATTACAATTCAATAGAATAAAAGAATAGTTATGTACAGTGAAAAAACAAAAAACAAATCTTGTTTATTATAGATAAAGAATTGACGAAAAGTATTAACTAGGCAGGACAACGTACTATAACCAGTAGTGGCTTCGGATCGGAAGGCATGTGTCCTGTATACATAGGCTGCTGCTTCATTTCTTTTAAATGGTTGCCAACCACGATGCTTCAATAAATTCTCTTCTTTAATTTCACCGCCGACCCTCTCCTCTTAATTGTTGAGGGTTACCACCGAGCAGAGCATGCTACCCCATAATTAGTTTAAACAAAAATGAAATTAAATCCAGACATGTGTCGCAATCCGAATTTTTATAGACATATAAAGTTCTCCCTTCTTTGCTTGATATGTCTCTGATTCTATTTATATGTTTTTTAATATATTTTACATAGATAAAAAATCTTAAATTATATTAATTTTTTATTAAAATATAATATTTTTTAATTTTATTCTTATTTAAGATATACATTTTTCAAAAAAAAATTTTATCTGCAGTATAACAATTGGAGGATAAAATAGTATATTAGTATCAAGAATTTAATAAAGTGACTTATGGATAGGATAAAAAAACTCTCTCCCCCTTATAAATAAGACCAGAGGAGTATATCACCAAACAAGTTTGGGGTTGAATTTAATCATAGATGTGAGATATTATTCTATATTTTTCTCATATTTATCATTTTTTAAAACTAATATATTAAACTTATAAACTGATAGATGATTCAATATAATAGTTATCTAGGAAGAACTCATGTCACATTTGTTGTATTTATTTAAATTTTTAATCCGTCTAAATTAGTTAAATAATTCATGTTAAGAATGAGAGGGAATATTTAATATTTAAAATTGTAATATGAAAGCTTTTTAAAAAACCATGATCTTGGGAAAATTTTGTATTTAAGTTAATTAACTTGATATTACTAATATTTTCTCCCTCATATTCCAAAGAGGAAAAGAGGAAGGGGGAAAAAAAATTCTCCCACCCACCTAAATAGTTATCTTGATTGGCTGAATAAAAATTTGAAAACGGAAATAGATTTTTGCCTAAAAAGAAAATTGTATAGAAATAATGTCATGCGTTCATTTTGCAATTTAGCCTACTTGGTCAATCAACTCGCAAATTAATTAGATCGAACAACTATCTGATTGAAAGAAACGCACCCAAACTTAATCGAGAAGTTATATACACATACACATTATGAAGGCCGACGATTACCATATACATCAGTATTGTGATCAATTAAGAATGAAATTGACGAGGCAAACTATATTAAATACGCAGAAAAGTACTTTTTTCACGAAAAAAATTAAAAAAATATATCTATTCGAATTTTTTAGATGCATTTCTCTTTTTTTCAAAAAAAAATAAAATCCACTTCATGGTATAATTTGTATTGTAAAGTAAGTTTTATGTTAAGAATAGAAGATTATAGTACCATATTTGAAGAAAAACGAAAAAAAAAAAAAAGGACGAGGAGGAAAAAATAACTCCGAAAAAGAGCAGATCAAGCTGCCGACTTCTTCTATTTCTGGAATAGGCTCAAATTGCACCTAATATCATCTCTGATCTGATCATTTGTCGTACCCAGACTATGTAGTTCATTATATTTACAACGTTGTCGTCACGGCTCGCAGCTCTGTAACTCAAACTGATTAACAATCTCTATCGCAGATTTATGATTCCGAAGAAAGAAGAGGAAGAGTGGCAAAAAATTTACTATTCTGGGTGATTATTATACATTACGCGGGACAGACACATATGAGCTCATCTGTAAGACTTGAGCATGGCTCCACAGAAAGTGCAGATAATGGCCTTCCAGTTTTTCCAGTAGAACGGAACATAACAAAACCTCGTCTGAGTCATCATGTCGGCCACGCTGGCTCCGTGGCCGCACCGCGAGCACGTCCCGGCCGCCGGCTTGCTCCTCCTCACCTTCCTCCTCTGATCCACCAGGAAGCAGAAGCAAACCATATTCCGAACAGTTCAGAAAAACGAAGAAGCTCAAACTAATCAGAAGCTCAATGTTCTTCTTCTCAGTCCACAAGCTACGGAAGGCTTCTTCCTTTCTCTCCGTGAAGGAATTTATATGAGTGGGTATGAAATTAGCTGGCTCCTACCAGAGGGTAAAACGCTCTGTGGCCTTTATATAGAGAAATGGATCTGTTAAAGGTCGAACAGATAGGGGTTAGAGGTGAGGGCTGCGAGGGGGCGATGACTGAAACGTGTGCAGCGGGGTGAGGGGGGAAGCAGGAGGGAGACCGTTGGATGAATGACACGTGGAGGAAGGGGATTGGGGAGACTAGTGATATTTTTATTTTTGGCCTTGTGAGTTGGGAGGGGGTGGCGCAATAGATGTGGGGTAACGGCGACAATCGAGGTCAGGGAGAGTGTATGGGAATGTAACACGTGGAAGTGACATTCATGGGTGTGTAATTGTGTTCATGAACAGGAAAAAGGCTTCGATGATGTGGCCGAAAAGGGTCGGGTGAAAAATTTAGCTGCACAACTTATCATCGTTCTGTGGTCCAAAAAAAAAAAGTGTTCTTATATAAATACTACTATATACATAAGTAAATAAATATTGATAAAAGCATACAACACCCAATCCTCTATATATATATATATAAAACAAAATATAGTTTGTTTATCCTTCTAGCTAGACCCTGTCCAGCCCTGTTATGAATACCCCTATATAACACTCCTCCGGCCCTAAATGTAAGACTCTTATATACATTAGTATAAAGGTCTTACATTTAGGATCGGAGGAGTATATATGTATATATATATAGATTTATAGGGAGTATGTATTTGTTTTTTTTGGCTTAGCAAATGAAATTTACAACATTTTACCAAGAAGAAATCTATTGGATTTTAAAAATTAATTTAATAACTAAAAGTTAAAGAGGGTGTAATTCAAGGGAAAACAATATTTATGCAATGCTAATGAATTTTATTGTTATGTGGTGTAATGATGATGTGCAATGAAGTTATTGGACTTGAATTATTATTTAAACAAAGGAATGAAAGTGTCTATGGTAGGGTACTCGTTGGTTTCTTCTTGGGAATTGAACTGTAAGCCAGTAATTATTCATGAGATATTTAAAGAGAAACCTATCATTCTCCAACTAGACAGAGTACGATTAATTAATTTATGCACAAAAGTAGGTCACAAAGAAGACTTGGGTGTTCTCTATTGAAATTTCAAACTTTTGCCAACCATATGTTAAAGTTTTAAATATCATGGTACTTGGACAACTCCAAATGTCCTTTCTATTATTCTAAATATATGGAAACTGATGGTAAACTATTTTGCCATCTACAGAGCGTAGTACGTCCTGCACATGTCATCCTCCAGTACGAAAATTTATCTCCACTGTTCAAATAATCCATATAGTACGTTGAAAAATGAGTTGTCAGCTTGATTGTTCATTCCGACATGATAGCCGGTACTTAATATAAAAATCAATTAAAAAACTAGTTAAATTAATTATTTCTCATATATATTATATATTAAATAAAATTAAAATTAAAAATTATTAAATTTTAAATGAGAATTTATTAAATTTAAGATTTTTATTGATTTGTATAGAGCATATATTGAAAGTGATTAATAAATAAAATATATTCACCATCTAATTGACATTGATATTTGGAAAAAAAAGTTACTATTTTAAATAAATTTTAAGTGATTTACAATTATCACTCAAGTATTAAACGTCATGAATTGATGGTCATTGTGGTAGCCTCCCTTCCAAGAGAAGAATGATACTCCTCCGGTCCTTATTATAAGACCCAATTTGACTTTTTATTTGGTCCTAATTATAAGACTCAATCCATTTTCTCTCTTATATTTATGCATTTTTTTCCAAGATAATCCTTCTAATAATGATAGTTTTAGCCAATATATTTAATTAGCAAGGATATTTTAGGAATAACAACACTTATTTATTATAAATAACCAACTTAACTTACTTCCTTAATCTCCTCAAATAAGTCAATTGGGTCTTATAATTAGGACCGGAGGAGTACAAATTTAAGTCCTGACTGGATTAGTCAGTTGCATGAAAAAAAAAAAATTAGGCTAAAGCAGCTCAATAAGATAAATATAGTGATCTGTTGAAAATAATATACTTTATGTTAATTTGATAAGCTTAGAAAAGTCTTGAGAAAAAAAAGGGGGGGTTTACTTTCAACTTGTTCTGATAAACTTACCAAGGTAAGTTAAAAGTAGATTCTTTTCAACGTATCCCCATGTTTATCCTAGAGTTCTTCCAACAACTTCATGTTTGATTAATCACTTCTCCTAATATTGAACAAACAGACTATTAAAGATTTATTAACGTTAGGTTGCATAGCAATTCCCCAGAAGTGAAAATTAAAAAAAGAAAAAAAGAAAAAAACCTCCGGTCTTAGTTATAATATCTTGTTGTCAATATCTTATAATTAGAACTAAGGTAGTACTACAACATTTGCCAAGGCGATAATAACCCAAGGAAAATTACTATTATTTCTTTGCTAACAGAAAATCAATAATATAATCTAACGCACTACTACCTTGTGTTAGTTGGAGATTAAATTTAGTCATAAATATAAGATTTCAATTAACTTTGTCTTTTAAATTTTTTTTAAAAATATCCTTATTGATTACAAAGAGTTCTCATTAAGAATAATTCTAATTCATATGATTAAAAAGAGTGGCTTAGCAAAGTCAACACACATTTATTACAATTAATCTATTTAACTAATTTTTTGATATCTTTGAATTAGTTGTCTAATCTTATACTACGAGTATTAAGTACTAGAGGCCATATATATAAACCAAGCTCTCACATGATCAGCATTATATGTAGCGAACCTAGTTATTGAAACTGGTTTATTCTCGCAGAGCAAAAATCTGATATGGAAGACAATACTTTTATAGAACAAATCTAGTTAGGAGGAATTTATTATTTGTTCTCATTACTCCAGCCAGTATAAGTACCCACACGGATTATATAAAATTTAAGAAATTATTCACAATACTATTTCTGATCTTTAATATAATAATTAGTTGACTAATTTGAGAAAATTAAGGAAGTTCGTTGAGTTAGTTATTTGTAATAATTAAGTGTTACTTTTTTTAAAAATATTCTTGCTAATCACGTATTAGCTAAAGCTACAATTTGATTGAATATTTAACATGTGCAACTACTATAAAGACTGCTTTGAAAAAATAGATGAACATGAGAGATAAAATGGATTGAAATCTTATATTTAAAACCAAATTAAAAATCAAATTAGCTCATATATTAAAGATTAGAAATGGTATCACATGAGTACTAATTAATAGTTTCTTACTACCTCCGGTCCTAATTATAAGAGTCAGTTGACTAATTTGAGAAAATTAAGGAAGTAAGTTGAATTAGTTATTTGTCCTAAATATGTGTTGTCTTTTCTAAAATATTCTTGCTAATCAAGTGTATTGATTAGAACTATCATTGTTAGAAGGGCTACTTTGAAAAAAATGTATAAATAAGAGAGATAAAGTAGATTAGGGTCTTATATTTAGGATCAAAATAAAAGTCAAACAGAGTCTTATATTAAAGACCAAAGACAGTATTTAAAATGTGTCCTGCATATACAAGATCCATTATTAAATACGAGAGAAGAGAGAGGATCACTAACGACTTAACGACGAAGTTTGTGTTCATGTGACTTTATCCATGTGAGCACCGGCCTTATAGTCACATTGTGATTATTCTTATCATGCCGAGGAAGTTAGCTATTAGCACAGAAATATGATTATGACTATGGGGGTCCCCCAACAATTAATAGCACAGTATGGGGTGGCGAATTATATGTGAATCCAAATTTCAAAGGACAATAAATGTGGGAAATACGTTTCACAAGCTTAGTAAGCTAATTCAACCACGGCTCTTCCTGTTTTGTTGGTTGGAACTGGAATGTTTCATGTTTATGTTTTTCCTTTTGAAAAATACTCCTCCGATCCTAATTATAAGACACAATTAACTTATTTGAGGAGATTAAGGAAGTAAGTTAAGTTGGTTATTTATAATAAATAAGTGTTGTTATTCCTAAAATATTCTTGCTAATTAAGTATATTGGCTAAAACTATCATTATTAGAAGGATTATCTTGAAAAAAAATGCATAAATATAAGAGAGAAAATGGATTGGGTCTTATAATTAGGACCAAATAAAAAGTTAAATTGGGTCTTATAATAAGGACCGGAAGAGTATTAAGTTGTTAATAATTAATTGGTAATTGATATAATTTACTTAATTTGTTGGTGGGTTTTAATCACAAACATATCCATTATTGAAAAAGCTCATCTACTCGATTTTATGTTAAGTCACATTGGCCCGATGTGTCTGCATGGAATGCGACGTGGAGAAGTCCCGTCTTCTTATGTGTCTCCATTACATTGAGAAAAGTCTATTTCCCTTAATTATCGATTTTTTCTATCATTTAAATTTATTAAAAGATTTTGATTTCATTTTTGTTTCCGTTTCTCTTTTCTTTCTTCTGTTTTTAATAAAAATGTTAGTACATAGTACATGACCCAATGAAAGTTAGTGTAAAAAAAAGGTTATTCTAAAATTTTAAAAATTACTGCTTCCTCATGTCTTTAACAGTTAGATTTAATATTAAATATAAGATTTGAATTAATTTTATTTTTCATATTTATTTTTAAATTAATTTGTCAACGTATAAATTAATGTATAATCTAATTTTATACAACATCTTAAGGAGATTATATTATATTTATTATAATTAATTGATTTATTCTCCTTTTGGTGTGATATTTAAGTTAGTTAAGTAGATTTCATTCTAAGTATAAGGAGTATGATTTTAGCAACACTTAAAAAATATGTATATGATTTGTTTTAAAATTTTAAGGCCTTCATACTTGGTGTTCACAAAAAAAAAAATCAACTATATTTTTGAAAACTTGTAATACTCAATTTATTTGAAAATAGGCCAGGTATGATAATATTAGATCCGAACATATTTAATTAATGAGATTTAAATAACATATTAATTGAAATTTAAATATATTGAATTAAATGCGAAACATTTTAAATAAATAAAATTTCAATTGGGAGCTCAAATAAAAAAATTATTAATTAATTTTGAATTTGAATATATTGTATTAAATTTGGAGTATCATAATTAAATAGTATATGAATTGTAGGTTTAAATGGAGAAATAAATCAATAATTTTAAATTTTTATCTATTTCTCCTAAATTCCGCATCTTTAATTCAAGTTCTATTTGAATGAATAAGAAAATCATACTCTTACAGAAATTAAATCTTGAGCAACAATAAATAATAAAATTAATTAAAATTTTAAATCTAATTAAATATACTAATCCATGTATTGTAGGGGAAAATTTATAGTTGAAAAGGAAAAAAAAAAACAAGGGAAGAAGACCATAATACGTGTATATAATTGAAAGTTAAAATCAGTGGCCCATTGGATGTGCGACATTCTTGAAGCCCATGTATTTTATTGGGTTGATCCGAAGAAAAGAAGGAAGGAACAGTGGACACGATCATATGAACAAACGAAAAGAAGAAGTAAAAAAGCAAATCCACACGTATCAATTCCTGTTGGCCTACGGTGGGAATAAACAAACTCATCCTGGCCCAGGAGAAAATCATAAACAGAGATGCGTTGGGTGGCTTAAGAAATTAGATTCTTTGAATATAAATGCTATTAGCTTTTACAAGCTAATTAATATAATGTGTAGACAACAAGATAAATTGATTCTTTTATTTTGCTATGCGCAGTATATCTGAATTTTTTTAAAAAAATATTATTTAAATTTATTGAACTTCATGTTTTGTTTTTGTCATTCTTTATCCTGCGAAAGAAAGTCATACACCCATCGCATCTATATGGGAATCAAATTCACAATTTTATGCTTGAAAGAAGACTCAAAAAAGATGTTAAGTGTCATTGGGGTAGGGACTCCAGCTTACACACGAGTCAAATTCGTAATCTTATATTTAAATTTATAAATACAATAAGTCATTACTTTCCGGAACTATAAAATCAGGACTTTGACTTGTACATATAAAAATTTGAGAAGTAAATTTTGAAGTCTTAATTCTAAATCAGTCATTTTTCTGTATTGATTTCGTAAAAGATCTTTAATCATCACTCTTTCAAACTTATAACTAACTGCACGTGCGTCGAAGAATAATATGCTACCTCCAGTTCTTAATATAAGAAATGGTTTGACTTTTATTTTGATTTTAAATATAAGATCCCAATCTATTTTGTTTTTCATATTTATTTATTTATTTATTTTTTAAAATAATTCTAGTCAATATACTTAATTAGCAATGATAACTAACTTAACTAGTTTTCTTAATCTACTCAAATTAGTTAACTAGCTCTTATATTAAGGATTAGAGATAATACTTTAGTTTCTCAAGCATCATATAGTCTTAGCCATATTTACATAAGATAATATATGCTTTTAATTATTACTACTTCCTGTACTAATTATAAGACCTCGTTTATAGACTATAAATGAGATTATATAATTAAGACCGAAGATAGTACTATTTTTTTCTCTGGTAAACAAAACTTATTACTATTTTTTTGGTTGAAGGGAACCTAGGTCTTTTGTCCCTTGATTGTGGGTGCAAACTCGATAAAATTTTTGCACATGGCTCTGGCGAGTTTGTTACATGATCGTGTGAGAAAGATACAGCGCTGCTCTCTTGAACTAATGAAGGTTTGGTCCAGCTCAATCAATAGTTTTGTGTTTGAGCCATGGAGTTAAAACTTGTTGAGAGAGTCTCAGAGCAGAGCTAAAGGTCCCATTCCGGATTAGTTTTTAGAAAGAATCATAAGGAGGTCCCAAATAAAAAAAACAATTGAAAAACAGATATTCTTGTCATTCTTATTATAAGACTTGTCATTATAGGCTGTTAAGGTTGTTATTTGGACTTTTTGGTAATTATCTTTTTTTCTGTGAGATGTGATTATAATTCTCCCTAATTTTTAATTAAGAATCGTGAAAATACAGCCATCAGCCTAAAGAAGAATCTGCAGAGGTTTCCCGTAGACAAAGACTCCGCTTCTGCTCACTAATGATTTTACAAAACTCAATCCGAGGACTAATTCGAATACTTGGTGATAGGATCTCAAAAAACCGTTGGATAGAATGGAGCAGGACAAAATGGAACGTAACAAAGCATTCTATTGTTTGAGTTTTGCCAGGAAAACAAAAAGAAACTCGCACGTTCATTATATCAATACATGCAACCTCATACTTAAATAAAATTTAAGAAAGTTTTTGTGTCAGTTGTGTGAAATGATACTAACAAGAATAAATGGTTTGTTTTTAACAATTTTTTAGAATTGTTGTACAATTATTAGAGATAATTATGTTTTCCCAGTTTTATTAAAATTAACTTGGGAGGGCATCCCAAACCATTCCACCCCTTTTAAAAAATTCTTCAAGACAACAATACATGCCTTTAATTTTTTTTCAATTTACCTAAACCCTCATGTGCCATAATTTTTTTTTGAATTTATTATATAATTTATGAAATAAACTTTTCGTAATTCCAAAGGATGGATTTAAGAGGCGAAGTTGGATTTATTTTATTTAGGGAAAAAATCTTTCGTTGAATTTGCAGCCTATTACTTTTTTCTATGTATAAAAATTTATCAAGTTATTATCACCAGTAAAATTTTTAATGGGAATTGTTTTCCCATAAAAAATTGGTTTTTTTTCCCCCTTTCCCCCTTTCACCCTGCCCCCCAACCCCTTGTCCTGGACTTCCAGTGGAAATCTGGTTTATTGATATTCTGGTGCCTGGCCCTGTATTAGCCATCGCATGGGCACGTTTTATGCTATTAAAAAGAAAAATAAAGAAAAGAATAAGTGCGAGGGGAATGTGACGGAGAGCCAGCGATCTTCTTCCTCAAGTATTGCTCTCTCGCCCCCGAACTGCTTAGTTAATGGTGACACTCTACGTTTCCTTCGCCTTTTGTTGTTTCCGATGCACAACCCATTCCGCTCCCTCGTGAACGCCATTGTCTTGGACTAAATCCCCCTCCGTCTTCCTATGTTTTCGATTTTACATGTTTTGCGGAGCCAATCTTCCATCATGTGGGAGACGCGTGAGGGAATTGGATTCTTTGATTTTGAATCCGGCTTTCTGAGAAGCTTGTGATTTTCTTCCTTCTGGTTAACTATGGAGATGGACAAGCACGCGAAGGAATTGGAGGTGGCCGTTAGAGTGGTCCACGTGGCATGTGCTCTCTGTGGGAGAGTGCAGGAGCGGCTGCTCTCTGCGAGTGATGATCACGTTATGTCCAAGGACGATGATTCTCCTGTGACTGTTGCAGGTAGCTGCATTGGGACCCCACTTCCAAATTTATTTTCCCGATTATGCTAATGCGAGGTTGTGAATCACGTAATTGCCATTGGGTTTGATTTTTTTGGTTTCTGGGTCTGGTAATATCTGCATTGGTAACACTGTCAGTAGGAACACTTGTGTGTGCTTTTTGGTTAGCTGGATTTATATGGATTTTCCTTTCTTCCATTTGTTCCAGTGGCATAGTTTGGATTTGAGAATGATGCATTATGAAATGAAATATTTTATATCAGTCTTTAGTTGGTAATGCAACCTGAATAATTGCCTTGATAGTGCTAGCTAACTTTACCTTGCAGGTTTTCATTCTTTTATTTTTTGACAATGTGAAAATACTGGCTCTGTGAAAGTTTTGACGTGGTAAAAGTGCAAGTTTGTTACTTTACGAGTTTAGATTATCTCGTACAATCATTTTCTGTTGCATTGTTATGGAATTTCTCTGTCTTATGCTGTCAATGTCAATTGTGATAGTAGAATCGTAGTTTATTCATAGTTGCCAGGAGTGAGGTACAATTTGAAACATAATATAAACTTTACTTAATATGTCGTGTGTTGAAATATACTCAGTTGATATGTTCTTTTTTGGGCGTCCTACATTTGAAGATTCTTTGAATTAGTTTCTAATTTGTGATTCTTAGATGAGGAGTGAAATTTTACAGTATTTCTTGTTTTTTAGTTGTGATGAAATCTTACAATTCTTTCATCAAAAGGAAACTGCATAAAAAGTTTAAGGAACATGTAAATCATAAGAAAACTTCTAAACTTCCTAAAAATGAATACCAATCAAAGGTGAAGAGCAGCATGCAGTTTACATAATTTGAACACCACAACATGAATTTTGTTGATGTTAAAGCTGACTGATGGCTCTTGTTCTTCCTTTAGGAAAGAATATAAATTCTGCTGAATCAATGCCTAGAATTTTTGGTATTAGTTGGGTATGTCGTGGATTGTTTTCAAGTTGTAAACTTCCAGACTGTTAAATCTATTATCTTGAAGTTTACCTCAGCAATGTATGAGGTAGAGACTTTTGGATTTTTAGTGAAAGTTGGAAGGTTTAATGCTAACTACCAATTTGGCTTCAAATTATAGCTTATATTACATTTTCTTCTCCCTCCTCCTCTGATTATGGGAACATTATTCACCATTACCCATGTTATCCACCATGACGTGTTTAGCTGCATGTTTGCATACGATGCTTTCAAGTTTTCATCTTCTTCTTCTTTGGTTGAAATGGTGCTTTAACTTAACTGACCGGATGTTGCCTCAAAAAAAGATAAGAAACTAATTGACTGGGTACTGTTGTTAATGTATGCGCTTGGGAAGACTTGAGTGTTCAAGCAACTATCAGTTGGTTACTATCAGAAATTTTTGGGAGTCAAAATGTGTCAATTGTTGCTGAGGAAGATACAGAAATTATCTCCAAAGATGATTCAGCAGGTCTGCTGGCAGCTGTTGTGGGCACTGTCAACGAATCTTTAGCCTCAGCACACAGGTATGGTCTCCGAAGTCCAGAGACAACTCTTGGCACTGCGGAAGTTCTTGAGGCCATTAGGCGTTGTAACTCAAGTGGAGGCCCTGGTGGAAGACACTGGGTTCTTGACCCTGTTGATGGCACGTTAGGGTTTGTACGTGGGGATCAGTATGCTGTAGCCTTAGCTCTGGTTGAGGATGGAGAAGTTGTTCTGGGAGTTCTTGGGTGCCCTAACTACCCAGTGAAGACAGAATGTCTTGATTATCATTACCAGAATCATCAAACGAAGTCAAATTTAGCCTCTGCTATTCCAGAAGCATGGGGAAAAGGGTGTGTGTTGTATGCTAGTAAAGGCAGTGGCAAGGCATGGTTGCAGCCATTAATTGCTGGAGATAGTATTCTAGAATGGCCGAATTATGCTCGACTTATTCAGGTTTCTCCCATAGATGATCCAGCATTAGCAACTCTATGTGAACCAGTGGAAAAAGCAAATTCTAACCATTCCTTCACATCTGGGCTTGCTCAGAGCGTGGGAGTTAGGTATGATATTCTTTTTCTTTTCTAATGAATTAACATTTAAACATATTTTATCCTTCCAAATGGATGGAAATAATTTTTCCACGTGAGAAAAATGCTTGCTGAACTCTTATCTCTCACTACTTCCTAATTAGCCTATTTTTTATAGATTTAAGAAAATATGGAACTTGGAAGTTCTATATTGTAAAAATAGTCAGCAGTCACTTGGTATTTTCTCTCCACTAAACAGACTAAATAAGTATTTACCTTTTTCTGACCATGTCAATCATACAACATCCTTGTGTGAAACCATGTGTAATAATTCTTAAGTACAGTAGAGTGATTGGTTGTACTGCATTTAAGTCCCTTTTTCTGGCAATTCCTTGCGATGCTATACTTGTTTTACTTTTATAGATTAGAGGTTTAAAATACTTGTTATGACGGTTCTCTGCTAAACATGTCTTGTGATTTTTTTTTCCCTTCCAATTTATCATTGGAGAATCCCATAGCTAACACTTAAAAAACTCATGTTTTGTCCTGAGACTCTTCCTCACTCGCAATCTCATGTAAAGCACAAAAAAAAAGGGTATATTCAAGAGCAACCATTTATAGACTTGGAAACATTATGGCCTGTTTGGTGTAACTAATGGAACGTAACATGATGAGGTGTGCAATGTCTACTTTACTCATATTACTAATGCTTATGAGTGACATTTTTCCCTCTATTTGTCCATCAATCTCATTTTATTCTGCAGAGAAAAATGCCCCAAAAGTATTTCTTATTTTCTTTTTTATGCATTATAATGGCAGGAAACAGCCAATGCGGGTGCACAGCATGGTGAAATATGCGGCAATAGCTCGAGGAGATGCCGAGATATTCATGAAATTTGCAAGGTCAGGTTACAAAGAAAAGATATGGGACCATGCTGCTGGTGTTGTGATTGTGGAAGAGGCTGGTGGTGTGGTGACTGATGCTGGAGGGCGCCTTCTGGATTTCTCAAAGGGAATGTACTTAGAAGGGCTTGACAGAGGCATAATTGCATGTTCTGGGGTCACTCTTCATGAGAAACTCATTGCAGCTGTTTATGCTAGTTGGGACTCCTCAAATTTATGAGTCCTTTTTTTGGCTTGATTATAAAAGGTTTTAGGTGAGTTCAACCAAAGGTACTTACTAGAGGCAAATCAAGTTTCATGACGTATAGGTATTTATAGGTTATTCATCAACAAAGTTCACACTTTTGCGAAGGCATAAGATGCTTCCTTATCGATCGGACAAGGACCAATCCTCACTAACTTGATTAGTCCTTTTCCAACAGAGTCACGAAACTTCAGCTTTTGAGGTAATCTGGTTCATATTCTGGCTTATTTATCCTTCTCTCTATTTTAACGAGAAGAAGCAATTCATCGTCATTGCATTTTTTCCCTAAATTACAAGGCTGTGGTTAAAACCTTGCAGAAGAGAACGAGATTAGATCTCTAAACCCCAGATGTGGGTCGTGGAAAACATAGAAATTGATACAAGCCAATGGATACAATTAATTGCATTTTAAGGTGATGGTTGTAATTGATATAAACTCTAGAAACACTGAATGAGAAAGTTTATTACTCGTTCCAGTCATAAATGTAGAGAAAGTCGAGGAGCTTGTTTTGGTTTCAAATGTAACCTCATATGTCTCTTACATATATTACTACTCGTTTTTTCCCCCCTAAATGACATCTATTAGCATGCGTCGATTGCGGATATTAATATACGCAATTAATAGGATTATAAATAATTAAAATGAGTATTTTGAAGATATTATCATATTTTTTATAAATAACTAATTTAACTAATTTTTTCGTTCTGTGTGAATCAGCTATTTAGTTTTTATAATTAAAATTGAAAGGAGGTTTTTTTTTTCTGTACAATAAAAGTTTAGATGAATTAGGTCCTGGAGGCTTGCTTGGGTTAATACATGTTTCTAAACTTAAAGAGTGCTAATAGAGGTATTTATAAATTGTCTACCAACAAAGTCCTCACACTGAAAAGAAAACTTTAATTTATGATCTTGTGGGCATGAGTTAACTCCTTATTAATTGGATAAGCTTTTGTTGGCTGTATATGATTTTACCATGAGCATACCAAGAAGCTTGACTCTTCAGGGCTGGTGGGCGGAGATTTTTTTGGTCTTTACAATCAAATCCACAGATTTGATGGCGGAAGAAAAGTTCATCACATTTGAGCCCAAACGTATGTGACCGTACAAGGTTGCAATATCTGTTGTTGGGCCCCCAAAATTCGGCTTCTTAGTGATCCAATAATATTCAAATTTTATAAAATAATACTAAGATATTGGAATATTACGTACATAAAAAATATACAATGCGAAAAATATATTTGCCCCAAAAAGATAAATAATTTTGTTACCCTTTGTTTACTAAGTAATGTCTTCTTCTTTTTTTCCAATTGCAAAAAAATGACAATTAGAGATAACACTCAAATTTCATTGGTAGGGGGATCTGCCAAGGATTGGGGATCTGCCCCACAATAAGTACCAAGCATGGCCAGATCCCAAGCCACTCACGCACACCCTTTTTTGAGGAAAAAACATCTTCATTTTAATAAAATTGAAGAGAAACCTTAGCAATGCATTTTAAAAAAAAAAAAAAAATCGTGTATGTGAGTCTATCAGAGAATATTTATATGACATTTTTTTAATATATTTTAGAAATTTCCAGGATCTGATTCAGTGGAGAGCCATGTTCATCAGTAAAAGTTTCTGTGTTGAACAAGCAAGTTTATATTCTACATTATATTTACATATTTATTTTCCTCAAAAAAAATCTAGCAAGCATGATCAGAACTCCATGGCAAGTTTCTTACATGTAGGTCAGTGGATGGAAGTCGTGCGCGCGCGCGTGTGTGGCTTAGGGTTTCGACAGAGGGTTTCAATAAATAAGTTTTGCGTGGCAGAATAGAAGACTAGGTGCAGAATTATTAGATTTAGTTTAAATAAAATAATAATAATATTTAAAAAAAGAATAAAAGAAGAGAAAAAGAAAAAGGGAAGGTGTTTAGTTGTGTAGGGGTGAAGGAGATTCCCAGAACATGCACTTGCCAGTGTCGCTTGCAACACATGGCAAGAACACACACGTGCCTTTACTTCTCACTTTCGTAACACAAACATGCAAATCATTTACACACTTTTGTTTTGCTTCCCCCCAAATGATTTTCCATCAAACTATCACTGCAAGTACAAGCAACCCTTTTTGCATTTCTTTTTTTTTTCCCTCCAATGCTATATATGATACCCCACAAAACCACAAAAATTTAGTTCTTCAATCGAATTTATGTTGCATTGTTTTTTTTATGTGTAAAATAAAGAGCAAAACACAAATATTTCACAACATAAACCACATTATAGGTTTGAACATGTGACATCCCTCTTAGGTCCCGTTTGATACGAAGCATTAAAAATGAGAGATTAAGATTGAGATTGCAATTAAAAAAATCATTAAAATAGTATTTAGTATGAGTAATTATTTATTATATAGGATGAAGTAAACCCATAAAGGTGGGATTGGTAAATACCACTTTCCCCAATGGTATTCTCCAATCCTACATACATGGGTTTGGCTAATCCCATATAACAAGTAATCTCTTATACTAAATACTTTTTAATAGATTTTCTCAATTGTAATCTCAATTCCAATATCTCGTTTTTGATACCTCCTACCAGACGCAACCTTAAAGTAAAGAAGGAGTTAATTAGCATGGTTATATTTAAAGGTTTTCAATGAATGTGTTGTATTATTGCTTGGTAAGGTATTCAAATGTCAATAACAAGTTTTATCTTATTAATTAGACGGGGTAAGCTAGAATATTTTTGTTTCATGAAAGGAAGAAATAGGAGGGGGGTGTAAAATGTGTTGCACTATCTCACGTGAAAGTATATGTGCTGTATCTTTTGTACAATCTTAGCTTTGTTAATTAGCATTCATCACAATATCGTGAGAGTGGAGTCAATACATAATGCCTTTATACTACAATAAAAAAATGAAACTTTTTTTTTGAGATTTTCATTTTAATAAATTATTTTTTTGATAATTTCTTAATCACAAAACTAACTATGAGATCTATTATAATTTTTTGCATGTCTCAAGAAGTTTATATATAGTAAGTGAAAATTCTCCTCATTAATTTATAGTATAATGGTAAATATTCTAGATCAAGTTACTATATTACTTTTTTTCCTTTGTATTAAGTTCATTTTTTTTTAAATAAATGATTTGCTATAAAGGAATTTTTTAGTAAAGGTGTCACAATCCACGAAGATCTCAAAAATTAAGTCATGAAAAAGACTTTGGATATTGTTAGGAAAACAAAAACATATTTTAGATGGTTACCCATCAAGATAAAAGGATTAAATTAAAAATTGATGTGGAGGGCTCCATTGATCAACACAAAGAAGCTATCTTTGGTAAGTTAATTCAGCAACAAGAGAGGATTTTTCATGATTTTCAATTACTTTATATGATTACGTGTTCAGAAATTTGCGAGGAAAAAATCAAGAAAAATTCAAAATCTTCTTTAAACATCTACAACAAAATTTTTGGATGAATTTGTAAAATTTATACCAAAAAAATTCGTTGCAACTTTACATGAAGTTTTGTGATAGGGAAATGGCATGATGAAATTGATTCATTTTGTGATTTGACTTTCTGAATAAACAAGTTCTGTAGAAAAAACAGCCAAAATCGGTGCTCATTTATAATCTCAGATGATTGGATCAACGTGGCTCTGTTCTATTAAATTTCATCCATCTCTTAGATCTCACTTCAATCATATGGTCTCTTTATTTTTTTTATTTATTATTTTTGATCCTCTGCTTTATTACCATGTGTCTTCCTAAGTAGGCGATGATGAAAAATCTGAGTGGGCATATTGCCAAATATAGACAAAGAAACAATTATGATGATATATACGGGTGGTTGTTGGACGTTGTGAATTAAATTAATGGTTTGATTTCAGAACAATTTATTATTTTAAGTTATTTTTCATATAGAACTATTTAAAATAGTATTTTCATCACAATATATCTTATTGCTGAGTTATTTTTTATTTAATGTCAAGTTAGACTTTTTCCACCTCTGATTATTTGAAGCAGTCAATGTCCCAATATTATACCCTTCTAACCCTTAATATATGATCTAATTAGAAAGTTGATGCTAATTAGTCTTATATATAATATATGTTTATTATTTTTTTTTCCAAATTAACCCTATTAATACCCTCCAACAATAATCAAGTAAGAGATGGAAAGAGAAAATTAACAAAGATACTTAGAGTGTTTTAAAAAATTTACTCAAATTAATTAATTAATTCTTATATTAAGAATCAGAGAGTACATTTTTTTCCTTTTGTTATCCTAATAACATCACATCCATATATTGTAAAATTTTGCTGTTGCCAACTTGGGAACTTAAAAAAAAAAAATACACGGATTATATGAAATTAAATAAAAAATGTACGTCGCATCAAATAAGCCATAAGTCATATGTTTTTGTTATGCATTTTAGCCCGATAAAAAATTTATTTATTCATATCATTAATATAAGAGTTATTTATAGTTAGTTTTAAACAAAGTAGTTCAGCTAATTATTTATAACAAATATATATTAATTTTTTATAATATTTTTTCTAATCATGTACACTAATACTATCACTTAATGAAAATCCCTTCACTATATGTGATTAATGGAGATGCTTTGAGAACATAAATTTAAGAGACAGAATCAAATTAATATCTTATATTTATAACCAAAACAAATACCTTATATATCTCCTATATTTAAAACTACCAAAAAATTTAATTCTGTAATCATAATAAAAATAATGATTTTTAAATGTGTCGTTGTTGACTAGTTGACTACTAATCAAACGCAACCTGTTCACTTAGAATCAATTATGCCAATATCCAGTGCAATTTGAAAATTGCATGTGATTTCAAGAAGCACCAGGTGGACCGTGGACGTGTGGTTTGGATCCTCCCACTTCCGTTTTTATAAACTTCCATTCACTGGCTTTTTTACTCAGATGTGATGAACAGTAAACAAATTTACTTAGATACGATAAGATCAAAATTATTTATCAAGATACTATACTTAAAATCGTTCAGACTGTGAATGACTTAAAATTTGTACAGAACTTGTTCTTGGTCTGAACAATTTCAGTAGGACCCACATCAGAAAATAAAAGTTGTTCTTGGTCTGAACAACTTCAGTAGGGCCCACATCACGAAATGAAAGTTGTTCTTGGTCTGAACAATTTCAGTGGGGTTCACATCACGAAATGAAAGTTGTTCTTGGTCTGAACAACTTCAGTGGGACTCACATCACGAAATGAAAATTGTTCTTGGCCCGAACAACTTTAGTAGGACCCACAATCCATATTTGTCTTATGCTCCACGTGAAATTGCTTCCTTTCATGCCTTTTCAATTTTTATTTTGACTAGACCACACTTTTGTTTTTTCTTGCCACATGCAAAGTTACTCAAAGAGTAGTCTTTCATTGTTTGAAGCTCAACTCACACGTAAGGATTCCTTCCCTACATATTTCCATCACTATAGGACTCAGGGAGTGGTCATTCATTGTCTTCAGCTT